CCCCCCTCCAAAGGAAAAAGACAACCAAATCTATTAATCACCCAAACAAGCGTGTATGCAGTGGCAAAGCATCCAAGTTTGCCCAGTTGCTCACAAAGCCATAAAAATATAACAAGAAAAGCATGTCCAAGCATAAACGAGGAGATAATACATTTAACTTGAGATGCATCATCAAAAGCTATCATAACCAAAACAAAAGGAGCAATCATGTTTAAGACAACCACACCATTTGAAGAATACTCTTACTGCTTACTAAAATTTGGAAAGAGTAGCAATAAATTCAATACTCCATAAAATAACAATCTAAAATTTGATTTTTACTCCCTCCATCCCAAGATGAGTTTCTCGTTTGGTTTCGGCAAGATAATTACAAAAATGAAATCGCATGGTGATCTACTGAGAAATAGAAGGAAAATATGAAATATATAAATTTTTCATTAAAAGAAAATGAAAAAATGTCACTGAGACCGATGAGAATAATAGTGAAAACAAATTGGAGCAGGGAGTTGTGGATTTAACAATTGCTCATCAAAGTTTAACGCAACATCGGTCATTTCAAGATGATCTCTGTTGCAACGTGTTTGCACATAAACAGTAATGTTTTGCATAATCTCTATTCCCCGTAATCATGAACCACATCAGAGGATGACAATGATAAAAGGGTTGAACAGTAGTTGGAGGAGGCATGACGATTATGATCGAAGGTTTTGCATAATCTCTATTCCCCGTAAACATGATCAAAATTACCCTATTAGTTTGCATTATCTCTATTCCTCGTAAACATAAACCACATTAGAGTTTCATGTGATTTTCAGCTTCATTATCAAACAAATCCTCAAAATGGTGTACCATTGTAATCCAGCAAAATAAATTAAAGGATGTTCTGAATGCAAGATATCAACAATGCAGTCTTGAGAAAAAAGCTCATATTCTGGGATTCTGGAAAGTTACCTGCAAATTTGAAGGCTAAGTTGGAGATGCAAGCCACAATCGTTTTAGAAATTTCCATATCATTTCGCTTGGCTGATCAACAATCATCAAACAAATCGGACTCCCAACTCCGCGAGTATCATCTTTTTAATTTGAATTTAAAAAAACAATTTGGAAATTTCGATATCCGAAAGTGTATCCCGTATCACGGAGAATAATAGGGTTTGAATCAAAAGGCTCACCTTCGCCTTCAGCGATGGAGATGGTGCAGAGTCGAAATTGTTTCTGCAGATGTTCTTTAGCGGCGGCGGCGGCCTCGTCATCCTCTCTCTCTTCTCCGCTAGACATGGCTAACTCTTCAGCTCCTCCCATTTTCGTTCACAGGTCAGTCTCGCCAATATTTACAGTAAGATGTCCCGAATGATACGCGGGAAAGATTGAGCGATGTGTGAGTACGGGCAAGTTTATATATTTTGCTCGAAAAGAATTTCCTTTTGCCTCATCCCACTGAATTTTGTTTTTTAGCTAGAAAAGATTTTTTTATTTTAATCTAATTTGATATGTTTTGAACTGATTTCATTTTACTTCTACTTAAAGTTATTTATGATCTGATCTTATCTCTATTGATTCTAATAAGAAAAGTTAATAAGTAATAAAAATAAGTTGAAGAGAACATTGCCTTAATCTAAATTAATTAAATATGTTCTTATTGGATCTGATCAAAATTTTTGCAGATCTTGTCAGATTAATTTTCTGACCCTACTCTCATGGGATCCAACTAGGTTATTTGTTTGTTTGTTTTGTTTGTCAGATTAATCTGATTAGATCTTATTTGAACTAATTGATATAAGGGTTAAGGAGCAAAATAGGAGTAAAACATTGATTAAAATCCAAAATAGGAGTGAAAACATAAAACCTCCAAAATAGGAGTTGTTGACTCACTGTTTGCCACCGCCAAGATTTGCCACTTTCATCACCCCTTGCTCCTGTTATCGTCGCACGTTGTCGGCATCGCTAACCCCCACAGGTGTAGTGCCATGGTGTTACATGGAGAAAAAAATAATTCATACACTGTAAATCGAAAATACAATGCTAAAAATAATAACATACAGTGACAAACATGACATTGTAAGATGCAAAAATATAAAATTTTAGGTCAATTGAAAATAAAATACCAAAGATGTCAATGCACAGTGACAAAAGTAGCTCTGCAAAATGCCAAAAGTTCAATTGTACTCGGTGATACATGTGCATGCATCGAGCCTACGAAGTCATTAATTATGGGAAGAAAACAATTAAAATAAACACACAATCTCTCCATTGTTAGCTCTATGCCAAAAAAATAAAAAAAAAATTCACCCCCACCAATAATAATAAAAAAATCCCAAAAAAGAAAAAAGAAAACAAATAGAAAGATCGAGTTTGGGTTGAGGAGCTAGCCATATATTAGCATCTATGCATGCACGAGGGTTATCATTAGTCAAATATTGTCAGCACTAGTGATGTTCATTTAATTTTCGCAAGTTAGTGAATGGGTGGCTCCTAATTACTCCTACTTAGAGGAGTTTAAGTTTGAACTCCTACTTTGGATATAACACATGTTTTACTCCTATTTAAGGGATTTTCTTTTAATATAAATCTAATGTTGTTGGATATGATATGATCTAATCTAATTGGACCTGATATGATCTGATTGGATCTGTTCTGATTTGAATAGATCTTCTCTAATCTAATTTAAAGCAAACAATCACCTCAAATATGAGTAAAACATAACACTTATCCTCAAAATTGGACTTCCATGTTTATCCTTAAAATAAGAGTTTGTACTCTTCACTACCAATTGGCTTGTGACGGACGTTTGTGATGGATAATGAGCGTGCGTAACCCAGCATCACAAACACTTTGCGACGGACTTTTAGGCCTTCACACAATTTGTAACAATTTTGTCAAGGCCTCATCCTTCACAAAGTGACGTTTGGGCAAACATTACGTTCCTTACTTTGTGGCGACCAGAACCGTCACAAAGTTTATCTCGTCGTTTTGTGACGGATTTAAGCATCACTAATTTTAATTTTTGAAAGTTTTCATTTTCAAACATAATCGTCACTGCCAAATGTGTGAAGAATTTAGGGATGGTTTTGGTCGTCACAAATTAAGAAAATTTAAAATTTTCATTTTTAGATTTAACCTGCCACTGCCAAACTTGTGAAGGTTCTGGGGCGGATATAGCCGTCACAAATTTTGAACATTTTAAAAAAAATTGTGCAGGCGCCGAAGCCCCCACACGTTTAATTTTTTTAAAAAATTATTTGGTGTAATTTTTATTTATTTAGAGCTTACAATAACATAAAAACACATAATTAATAAAATAAAATATATCATAATAATGTTTCACCAAAAGTTAAACATGCACCGTAAGCAAAAAACAAGGTATTGCATGCATATCAGTTTAAAAGCTAAATAAGTCAACACATACAAGTCATAACACTACAAGAAATTTGGTATTTTGGCGCACTTAAAATGGTGGTTCGCCACACTTATAGATGTGGGAAAAATACTTTGCCACACATGACCTAAGTGCGGCTACGTAACTGTGGGCAATTTTTAGCCGATAAGTGTGGCTAATTAATATTTTAACAACACTTAAAATGCACGCTGTGTGATGCACGATGTGTGCGAACGTCGGATCGAATTGCTTGATATATACCTAATCTTGATTTCTTCAGATGGGTGATGCATGTGTGCGAGGCGGCTGGAATAATTAGACCATTTGTTTTCTTAGATTTTTTTAGGTGGATGAATATTTTAGGCGCTGGAATGAAAAAGTGAGCGCTAAAGGGAATTGTTTTCAGTGAATTCCGTCCATTGAAATTTTTTAAATACAATTTTAATTAAAAAAATTTCCTTTCTATGTTATCGAATAAAAGAGGACTAATAATCATAGTATATATATATATGTTTATTTTAAAATTAAGTATAATTATGTTATTTTGGAACACTTTTTTGGTGCAGGTAAATGAAATCACCTTTTGCCTCTTTTTTAAGTGCATGGAATGATTAAGTGTTGAATTTTATTACCACACTTGATTATGTGTGGCAAATTAAATGCGGCTAAAAGGGTCTTTTCTTGTAGTGATAACAATGTTCCAATTAACCAAACAAAATGTTTTTCATTAGTGAAGGCCTAGGGATTCATTCAGGTACAAGTCTACATCATTTTATTCATTAGTAAAATTCAGGCATGTTTATCCTAGGTGTGCTTTTCTGGGGGTGCTTCTCCTAGGTGTTGAAGCAGATGGTCTTCGCATGTTTATCATTATAGGGTTTGTAGGAACAAATTCAGGCATCATTGGTGATGGGGAATAAAAAATGCAGGATGATTACCCCAGGTGGGGTTTGAAACATGGGGAGCATCGAAGTGGACGTGGCGCCATCTTTTCCTGGAATAGTAGCACTTCCTGCCATTGCCTTTCTCACCTCTGCCAAAATATCCTCCTTTTGTTTCTCCAAGCATGCTTGTACTTCTTTTTCAATTTCATTTTTCCAACGCGCCGGAATAGAACTCATCGTCGCACCACCATGACTCCATGAAGAACCTCATGATATAGTCCATGCCTTAGAACCCATTCCGCTCACATGTTGTAACGCCCCAAAATATACCCTAGAATTATTAATAAATAAATAATCAATTAATCAAATTTGTTTTAATTAAGAATAAATGTTTGTTGGGCTTTGGGCCAAAATGAAATATGTTTGAATATTGAATATTACAATCAGGATAAGTCTCATAGAGATAAATCCAAAATATTGACTAATTATGTGATCTTGATTGAGAACCTGTGTATAGACCCAAATCAAGAATATATGAAAAAATTATTATGATGTGAACTTTGAAATGATTTATTGAAATAAATCATTAGAACAAATTATATGAATTAAATGTGAGAAACCTTTTTGAATAAAGATTAACTAAATCAATTTTGACTCTGTCAAAGTCAAACACCCAAAAATATGATGTCGGAAAAAGTACTACAAATAAATATAAAAATTATATCAATAGATAGAGTTTAACTGCCCGATCACAACGGTACAAACGGAATTGAATTCGGAGAAAGTTGAACCAAAAAGTGTACCCCAACTGGAACCAAAATTGGTCCCAATCAGGGACACTGTGCGAACGGCGCCTCCCAGCGCACTAAGCCGATTGTGAATCTTCCTACGCTCACAAACCAGTGTCTTCTTCTCCCTCAAATCCACTATATAAAGGGAGCTAAGCATTCTCAATTCTTCACCAAAACATATACTTCCTAATTCTATTCTGTTGCTCAAAGTAAGGAGAACGCTGTAGTGCTGTCAATTTGGTGAGAGGTCGCCGGAGTTGGGAGTAATCGTCGCCGGAAGTTTTGCCGGAAAATATTCAAAACCTTCATTTACCTTCGAGGTAAGCCCGTAGATATATCTAATGACTAGAATGTTTGTATAGATCGTTTCTACGTTCATAAACGCTCGTTTGGTTGAGTTTTGTGTTTGACATGCTTGAAGAACCAAGAATCATAAACCATGAAATTGATGTTAAAAATATGAATTAATGATACCAAAATGACCTATGAACCTTGGATAACATCTCTATATAGTTTTGTTGAATTTCGATAACTAAAAACGGTATTTCTGAAATTAGACCCGAACGAAGAAGAAGATGAACAGTGGCTGAAACACCACTGTCTGGATCAATCCAGGGGCTTGGATCGATCCCCTGGGAATGATTTTTCATAGTATGGATCGACCCAGAGGGCTGGATCGATCCCCCGAAGTTCTGATCCGAAAATTTGTCTGAAAATGCTATTTTTGAGTTCTAAAATCCTATTTTTGATACCAATTGATTCTGATCATTATGAAAATTATTTACCATAATAAAAATGAAATTTTTAACAAGTAAAAATGTTATGTGATGCATGACGGTAAGTTCGGGTGTTAACACTCGAAGCTAGGCCGCTATTTGTTATCAATTGTTATGTTAATTGATGATTATGATAAATGAATATTATGGATGATTATGAGTAATGAACCTACTGATTAAAATGAGTATTTATAATTGAATCATAATTTAAATAAATACATTTATAATTATGAAATGATTTATAGTGTTAAGGATATCTAGAAGAACTCTAAGATATACCCATTTAGAGAATTGATGTTAAGGCTATCTAGAAGAGCTCTAAGATATACCCATTTAGAGAATTGATGTTAAGGCTATCTAGAAGACCTCTAGAATAGATCTCATATTAGTATGGATTTGTGAAACATGAATATTCAGTGATTGGATAAAAATGTAATAACGGAATTCGTAGACCAAACTAGAGGATCACTCGTTTGGGAATGCCCGATCCAATGTTGATCAATCGCTATATTGTTGTTGCCTAAACTGACTACAGTTAAGTGTCCGAAATTATTTGCCTTAAACTAGTGACAGTTTAAGTGTCTGATTGCCTTAACTGACTACAGTTAAGTGTCCGAAATCAATTGCCTTAAACTAACGATAGTTTAAGTGTCTGATAATTAATTGCCTTTTTAAGAGCATTATTATGATCTGGCCTTAGACTAAGAATAGCTAAGAGCATTTTTATGATATGGCCTTAGACTAAGAATAGCTAAGAGCATTGTTATTATTTGGCCTTAGATTAAGAATAATTTAAGGGCACTGTCGGAATAATATATACATTGAATAAAATGTGTTGATATGAACTAAACATTTTCAAAACTGTGAATGTCTGAAATGAACATTGTGTGCATGATATCAAATGATTTGATTATGAATTTAGATTCAGCTTATATGGATGTTCGATACATTAGATATGCTTACTCAGCTTTACCGCTGAGCGTGTAGTGTGTTTTATTTGCTACACGCAGGTAAAATAGAAAGACCAATGTGATCCTGGCGGCAGATGGGGCGAGATTGTCAGGATGGATGACAAGTTTGAAATGATTTATGATGTGTCAATATTAAATTCGCTTCCGCAATATTATTGAATACTCTGTACTGTATATGTTATGAAAATATTATTGAGATTTATAAAGTGTGTTTGAGAAGTTTTAAATTTTTACTATTTTCAAGTTAAATACTTTAGTCCGAAAGGGGCTGCAGACCTGGACGGATTAGGGTGTTACACACGTTTTTTAACTACTCCACCAGCTACTTCCACATAAGCATCAATGTCATCCATTTCGGAAGAATCCCCAACGCACTCTTGAGTTTGTTGGCTCTTAATGGTATTATAACGTGTCTAAAAAATTGAATCTTATTGGATAAAATAGATTTTACATGAAATTAACTATTTAAAATTGTAAATACCTCAATTTCAAATACGAATGTAGTAGGCTCCCCATCTTGAGAAGTGAAGCAATACTTCAAGACCTCTATCGTGCTAGGCTTCTCCTGTAAAAAAAGAAATTATTAAATAAATAAATTAAAATATTAGAGATTAATCTAATATCAAATATAATTACCATTCTCTCTTCATGTTTAGAAACGGAGATTGAGCCACTACACAGTGCTATAATGTAAGCTTACATTATAACACTGTGTAGTGGCATCCCACATTATTTTTTAACAATAATAAATTGTCATTATTGCCATTATACTCTTATTTTAACGATAAAAAACATGGAGCTTCTATTTTAATAATTTCTCCCTTTACTCTTAATATATACCCTGCAACAGCTTGTACGACCGGTCTTTCTTGTACATCCGCAGAGAGTACTCATTTTCGGTTAACTAAATACTCATTTTCAATTAACCAAACAATCATATTTTTTAAAATTCAGAATCGAAAATGAATATGGGAAACACCGTACATGTGGAATTGTGGACGTATGGTATAGGCAACTATTTTTACTCTTAGTTTATTCGTTTTTCCATTAAAAGTAAAAAACTATTACACTAATAAATTTATAATTATTATTAGTATTATTATTTTGACTTTTATTGTTGTTGTTATTGTTGTTGTTGTTGTTATTATTATTATTATTATTATTATTATTATTATTATTATTATTATTATTTTATGAGTAGGGATCCAATGACCACATAATAATTTTTCTTATATTTAAATGTCTCAAAAGGGGTTCTCTTTATCTTTCTCATTTTTTTAAATATATGTATAAAATCCAAAATATTTCATTCACATTTAAAAAGAATTTTGTGAAAACAAAAGAAGTAATTGCTATAAGACACAAAAAAATATTATTATCATAACTATTGCTCCATGTTTTAGTAAAACATTTGCATATGTATTTTCATTAATTATTTGATAAAATAAAATGGGTACATTACTACTTGTTTTGCAAAACTTTTGAATTACTTTTTATATATGTAAATTATACTCCTTATTTCCATAAATAACAACAATCTAGTTGTATCCCATGATAATAGGATCTAGGGAGGGTGTAGGTACAAAAACTTTACTTCTACCAAAAGTAGAGAAGTTGTTTTCAAGAGACAATAATTAATTTAGTTAAAGATATAACTCTTTAATAATAATAATAATAACAGTAATGACTATTATTTAATCTATGTAATATTATTAATACTATTTTATTTAATTGTATATAACATTATGATGGAAGGGGGACATCTGTATCCCCGCATGATAGCTTGTATGAATGGAGTATTCGGCCCACGGCAATAAAACTGTCCACCTCTTGGGTTGTGCATGTGTATAAGCCCATAAGTACTATTCCGGAGTTCTTTTCATTAGCTCTGTAACCTGTGCAACACACGCCAAAAAGTGCTTGTGAAGATCTTATCTCGATCCGAGACGATGGGCTTCGGGAATCCATGTAATTTGATCACCATGTTGATAAAATGGAAAGCTGTCCAGTGGGCATCAAAGTCCCCGGGTAACGACCCAAAATGTGCATACTTTGTCAACCTATCAACAACCACCAGGATGACGGATGACCCGCAGGAAACCGGAAGACCTATAATGAAATCCATACTCACATTCTCTCATACTTGATTCAAAATAGGAAAAGGTTGCAACACCTCGGCCATAGATTAATCGCAAGATTTTGTGGTTTGGCATGTTAAGCATGCCGCGACATATGCTCTGACCTCATCCCGCATTCGGCGCCAATAGAAGGATATGGTTAGGCGTTGAAAGGTCTAGTGAAAACTTGCATGCCCGGTGTGGGAATCATGATATTCCTTAAGTAATGCTTGTTGGAGAGAGGAGGCAGAACCAATGCACAGCCAATGGTTTTAATATAACAAGCCATCGATGAGAGAGAATAGGGTCAAAAGGGTCCCCCTGTGATATGCTTTGTGAAGCTGTAAGAGGTCTAGTTGGGTGCCATTGTCCTCTCGAATGTGATCCAGTATGTCCAAAATAAAGGGGCTGAGAAAGAGCTAAAAATTATGCAGCTCTGGTCGAACCCTCCTCCTTTTTGGACAACGCATCAGCGACGATATTCGTTCTACCCGGCTTGTACTTAATTTTGAAGCGGAAACCCCATCAATTTGCGGACATAAAATTGTTGATCTAAGGTTTGAATAACCTGCTGCGACAACTTCCGTAAACTCCGTTGGTCGGTGCGAATAAGAAATTCTCTACCAAGAAGATATTGCTTCCATTTGTGTACGGCTTCGACAATGGCGTATAGTTCTTTATGATAAGTCGAAGTAGCTAAGCGATGCAGCCTAAGCTTTTTGCTGAAGTAAGCCACCGGTTGCTCATGTTGTAACAAAATAGCCTCGATACCCGTGACAAAGGCATCGTTATCAACCACAAACAATACGGAGAAGTCCGGGAGACGTAATACTGGCACCGTGGTAAGAGTCATCTTTAATTTTGAGAAAGCCTCAATCGCCTTATCATTCCATTGAAAAACATCCTTCATCAAGAGGTCTGTGAGCAGCACTACTACGTGGCCATAATAATGATGGATGAACTGTCGTTAGTACCTTGTTAAACCCTAGAATCCTCACAACTTTTTCAGTGTGTCGTGTAGCGGCGAGTCCACCATGGCTCAAATTTTGGTTGGATCGGGCTTTTGTTTTTCCCGCTCAATTATATGTCCCAAATACTTAATGGATTGTGTGCAAAAAAACACATTTAGAGAGCTTCACACAAAAACCATTCATGACCAGCATCCCCAATACTACCTCTAAGGGCTTCTCATGTACGGGTAAACATGGGCTATAAATCAATATATTGTCAAAGAAAACAATGACAAATGTATGCGGATAGGCCAAAACGAGCTTGTTCATCCATGCTTGGAACGTGGACAGTGCATTTGTCAAGCCGAACGGCATCACCGGAAACTCAAAGTGGCCTTTGTGAGTACGAAAAGCCGTTTTATAGACATCCCGGTCGTGCATCTGAATAAGTGTGGTATCCGGAGCATAAATCTAGCTTGGTGAAGTAGTGGCCGGTGGCACCCAATTCATCAAATAACTCGTCGGCAGTGGGTATAGGGAAGTGATCCAGAATGTAATGGCATTTAGGGTCTTGTAATCTACACAAAATCAGTTGGAGCCGTACTTCTTCTTGACTAACAAAACTAGTGACGAGAAAGGGCTACGGCTTGGTTGAATCAAATACTGGTCCATCATATCCCGAACCAAACATTCAATTTCATTTTTTGAAATTGAGGGTATCTATACGGCTATACGTTCACTAAGTTAGCACCGGGCTAGAGGAAAATACGGTGGTCGCTCAAACGACGCGGTGTCAGGCCGGTGGGTACCCCAAACACGATAGAAAAGTGGCATAAGGGAGCCCAAATGGACTCTAGAAAATCCACGGGCAAGTCCAAAGGAGGGGTGCTGGTCTCGGTATTGTGCTTCACGAGTGTGATCTCAAAACAAGATGCAATGTCCTGCTTGGCATGTGGTTGGTGAAAGTGATGCAAACTGATGGGTTTTGGCGTGACAGATCCCCCTTGCAGCACACCCTACCACACAAATTCCATTCTCAATTTCGTGTAATCTTGTGTTACATTCCCCAACAACTGAAGCCATTGTACGCCTAGCACCATGTCCAGTCCATGTATGACCAAGACAAACATGTCAATAGTATGAGGGAGTGCCTTGTAATAGTAGAGACACATTTTTTCATTGCTGGGAACAAATAAGGGATGCACCGTTCCCAACGTACACACAGAAAGCGGAAACTTCAACGACCGATAATTGTAACTGTTCGACACCAGCGGGATGAACAAAGTTATGTGTGCTTCCTTCATCAATTAGGACCACTACGACCCTCTCTGCTAACATACCCGAGAGCCAAAGGGAGCGCAACGTAGACACCCTTGCCGTGCTGTGTAGGGAGGACACGTCCGCTACCAATATATTGCATTGGCACTCATGTTATCGGGTTCCATGTCGTCTTCCACTTCAATGAGAAGTAATAATATGCCACAGTGGTGTCCTTTCATCTACTTGTCGTCACAGTTATAGCACAGTCCCTTTGCATCTCTTTCCAATTTCTTTGAAAGGGACAAACAGTGAATTGGGGAATTGACAGGCGTGTTACAAGGCAACCCTTTCTTAGATTCTGGTGTGGGCAGTAGAGGAGTGGATGAGGGTGGCGTGTAGGTTTTAGGCCACGACGAAGTGCGTGGATTGATGGGCAACACCCAAGCCGCATGTTTCGCTTCCAATTCCCTAGCCAAAGCGAAGGAAGCCGAGAGAGACTCCGACTTCTAATGCATGATCTCGTATTGTGGATGGGCCTTCAACCCCGCATGAAAAAGGGATTGCAAATTACCCTCCGCAACACTCATGACGTTCACGACTATCTTCTCAAAAGCTTGGTGGTATTCAAACACCGAGCACGTTTGACAGACTTTAGAGAGCAACCCAAAGTGATCAATGTAGTTGAGAGGATCAAAGCGGAGTTTAGAGTTGGTCCCAAACTCGACCCAGGATGCAAGAAGATTGTTACGCTGCTCCCCTCTAACGTCAAACACACCTTCGACAGACGTGATTCCTCAAGCATGTCGTAGAAGGTTAAATATTCATGTGCTTTGAATAACCAACCCAAGGGATCCACACCATCGCACTTCGACATATCAATTTTCAATTTATGGATGTGGTTACCTCGATCATGCGAACTACCAGACCGGTCACCATGTTCCCCATCTATTGGTCGTTTTTCTGTCCGTGCGATAGCCATGGACACATCCTTCTACACCTGCTAAATGGCATGATTAATCTGCTGCATGGCCGTGGATTGAGACGCCAATTGATTCTAAATTTAATGTTGAAATTCCTGGAAGCGAGCCTCCATCACTGATTCGGTGGTCATGTTGACTCAATGAGAGCACCAAATAATGATACAAACTCGTATCGGATAGGGAAGACTTTTGAGCGTCTTCGAGCTCTTGGGAAAGGTAGATGAGAGAAGAGTGAAGGAAGAGAACGGTAGACGAGAATAGCCGCACGTCCACAAGACGGGAGAGAGAGAGAGAGACAGAGAGAGAGAGAGAGAGAGAGTTTTAGGGTTTGGTTCTTCTTATTATGATCATGATAAATGGGTACATCTCCATATTTATAGATAAAGAAACCCTAACTGTCTATCCTGACGGTTCAAGAAAAAGCGACGAGATAAAGAACCGTAAAAAAACTCTTGAAGGAGCTTATAAATCGCTCACCTAATAAAATCTAATACAAAAATTAATATATAAATAATAAAGTCCTTAATAATGAATATCAATAAAAGTAAGAGTACGCCTACTGCATCACAAACTCCTCCTGCCACCTTGGAGCTCGCGAGACTCGTTCGCTACGCCGACTGCTCGGTTCTTCAACCACCTATCTCCGGCTTTCGGTCTCACGTGCATGGCTTCCCGGAAGTTCCGTAACATCATGCTATGTTAGGTCTTACAGTTTATTAAATCATTTGGACATTTGCCATTTATATTTTAGAGTCAGTTTTGTTAAATATGTTATGTATATATTTAATATTAATTATGTGATCATTGTATTTATGGTAGTTTACATGTATAGGTTCCCTTCCGTAATTAGGAATCTTCTGTAATTATTTATACGAGGCTTCGTCCTCCGTTATTATTCAATAGAAAATAACAATTCTTCATGGTATCAGAGCCTCTCGTTGCTCTCCGCCTCTCGTCCGACCTAGCGTAGGCAAAACCCTAGCCGCGCCGTCGCCACCTCTCTCTCTCTCTCGGCCGAACAGCAGCCAGCCGCCGATCCACCCTCCTCCCTCGGCAGTTCTCGGCCGCTGTCTCTCTCCGGCGACCTCCCTCCCTACGGCAAGCAACCACCCACCGATCACCATGTCCAAGAAGCCCTCGGTCACCGCCTCGACGTCCTCTTCTCCAACTCCATACTTGGCGTTCACGACGATCTCGAACGTGAAGCTCCATGTGCCGATTCTTCTAAGGTTCTCCGAACCTAACTACAAAAAGTGGAGTCGGCTCTTCCTCCTCCTTATACGAAGGTTCTCCTTGGGTGATTTCCTCACTAGTAAGTCGTCTCCTTCTAGCGCCGACGACTCGAAATGGTTCCAACTTGACGCTCTCATACAAGGTTGGATTCTCTCAACGGTTAATGATGAAATCTGCGATCTTGTTCTCTCCACAACCAACTCCGCATCCGAACTTTGGCGAGCCATCTACAACATCTTCCACGACAACAAGCCGGCCCGGACGATGCAACTTGAACACCAATTCCGCACTACCACGAAGGGTTCTCTCTCCATTTCCGCTTATTGTCAAACCCTACGGAACCTTGCAGATTAGTTGGATGATGTAGATGCCACCGTCTCCGAACAACAACTTGTTCTTCAAGTCTTGCGTGGCCTCCCAGATGATCTTCAAGCACAAACGCCATTCCTTCAATACCAAATGCCCCTCGACCTTACTCCAATCCCATTCGGCCCTCCTCTTAATTGAACAACAACGGGCTGAATTGGGCGTCGTTAGCATCACGGAGGATGGCGGCATGGTGTTATACGCCGGCAGTGGAGGCCCGCGGTGGCAGGGCAGCGCCGGTGGCGGGCGGTCGGTATCTAGTGGCGGGGGAGGCTTCGGGCAGTAGCAGCAGTACTCCCGGCACCATGGTGGTTCATCTCGGGGTCATGGTCGCCCACCCAAACCCTAACTCGGGCAGCAGCAGTACACCCTCGGGTAGCCCTCTAGACAGTTCACCCACCCAAACCCTAACCCGGGCCTTCTAGGCCCCTGGCCAAACCCCTACCCGCACCCCCAACACCCCCAAGCCTACTTCTCTACCCCTTACCCACCCCACGACTTCCCCTCCCCATACCCAGCCCCTACCCGACAGCCCCCTCACCCTCCTACCCGACACCCCCACCCTCACTCGTAAGCACACCAACCGGTGTCCACACCCCCACCCCAATTGCCCTAGCCCATCACTTTGACACCCTCACCCTCTGTGATCCAAATTGGTATATGGACACCGGCACCACTCACCACATCGCCTCGGACCCAGGTACTTTTTCTCATGTTCGTACTAATTCATTTAATTCTTCATCATATATCATTGTAGGTAATGGTTCTAAAGTACGCACTACGGCTATTGGTAACTATAAATTCCCCACATCCCCTCCCCTTAACTTACAAAATATTCTTGTTTCCCCCCACATTATCCACAACCTTATTTTTGTTCGCCAGTTCACCCGTGACAATAATTGCTCTATTGAATTTGACTCCACTGGTTTTTCTGTGAAGGATATGCTGACGGGAACCGTGATTCATCGGTCCAATAATGCTGGCCCTCTCTACCCCATGAGCCAATCCACCGCCCAAGCCCAAGTCAACGTTGTCACCGGTAACTCGGAGCTCTAGCACCGTCGTCTTGGTCACCCTAGCCTTACCGTCCTTCGTGGAGTCCCTAGTCTCTCATCTCTGTCTTTTAAACATTTACAGAACTCTCTTTGTCATGCTTGTCAGTTGGGGAAACATGTTCGTCTTCCCTTTGAGTCATCGAGTCGTATTTCTACTTTTCCCTTTCAGCTTTTACATACTGATTTGTGGCAATCGCCTGTTACTAGTGTTACTGGGTTTAAACATTATATGTTACTCTTGGATGATTATTCTCATTTTTTGTGGGTTTTTCCTCTTAAACATAAATCTGATGCATGTTCTCATCTTCACACATTTATTGCCTTTGTGAAAAATCAGTTTAATACTACTATTAAGGCTGTTCAGTGTGATAATGGAACCGAATACAGGATCAGAACATGCCCCTTCATAACATTTTTGAATACTTGGGTATACTCTTACGCTTCTCCTGCCCACACACTAGCCAACAAAATGGTCGTGCTGAACGGACCATCTGCACCATAAATAACACTGTGCGATCTCTTCTCTTTCAGGCCCAACTCCCACCCACTTTCTGGGTTGAGGCCATACACATGGCCTCACATCTTTTCAACCTCTTACCCACAACCACTCTCCAAAAATCAAACTCCACATGAAGCCCTCTATGGCTCCAAACCCACCTACTCCCATCTTCGTGTCTTTGGTTGTCTCTACTATCCTAATCTTTCCGCTACCGCCCCTCATAAACTCGCCCCTCGCTCTGCCCGATGTGTCTTCTTAGGGTACCCGTCCAACCAACGGGAATACCAATGCCTTGATCTTCTTACTCACAAAATTATCATCTCTCGTCATGTAATTTTTGATGAAAACACCAACCCTTACTCTCACCCCGTCTCCCCTACCAAATTCAATTTTCTTGATTCCACGGAGGACGACACAACCCACCACACCCCATTTGGAAACCCCACTCAACCGTCACCCTCGGCCCAGATTCCCCTCTCCCAAATCCCGCCCACACCCTCGGCCCAACCAACACCTCCTAGCCCACCCTCTCACACGGCCTAGCCCTCCTCCCCTCCCCACGCCCAGCTCCCTACCCCGTCTAGAAGCCCACCAGCCCA